TTCTGTCTCACTGAGACCGCACCCTGCGGCTGGAAGATGCTGTGGGATCTGACCCCTGGTTCCCTGTCTGACCTCACTTCCTACAGCTCTTCCTCTTGCTCCTTCTGTTCCAGCAAGGCTGGTCCCCAGGCTCGTCCTGAAATGTGCAGGCATTTCTGGCCCGGAAGGCTCTGGGCCCCTGGGTGGGTCAAAGCCTCACCTCTTCCAGGTGTGACTTAATCCCCTGTTGGGAAGACGTTTCCCGGCCCCTCATTTTAAATGCCACTGCTCCCCAGCATTCTCTCTCCTCCACACGCAACACTCATGAACCCTTTATTTCTGGCTGTCTCTATCCACTCGAACACAGGCCTTCGTCTCCCAGTGCTTGCCTCTCATGTGATGGGTAGTGACATGGGCTGAAAGGTCACTTGGACAACCCTCCCTTAAATGTCATCTCACCCAGACAGGAAACGGCACATCTCTGATTTTCCTCTTTCCTGCTCTAGTTCAGTTTATGGAGCTACTGTCTGCCCTTCCTACAGGCCAGAAAAGTGAAGACTCACTAACAGCTTGGAAAGTTGGCTGCCCCTCATGCTGCAGAGTCAACCAATCCTTCCACCTACATCTCTCTCAAGTTCATGACCCCCCACCCCGCAAGTCCACGGCCACTGACCTCTTCGGTTCAGGCTCCTGTGGGTCCCCACTGCCTCCTCCCTGACAAATGACGAGGCCCCCTTCCCACTGGACTGCAGTTGCCTTCAGAGCACTACCCCACCTCCCCTGCACCCCGCTCTCTCCTCCCCACCTCCCCTGCACCCCGCTCTCCCCTCCCCACCTCCCCTGCACCCTGCTCTCTCCTCCCCACCTCCCCTGCACCCTGCTCTCCACTCCCCACCTCCCCTGCACCCTGCTCTCCCCTCCCCACCTCCCCTGCACCCTGCTCTCCCTCCCCACCTCCCCTGCACCCTGCTCTCTCCTCCCCACCTCCCCTGCACCCTTCTCTCTCCTCCCGCCTCCCCTGCACCCCGCTCTCCACTCCCCACCTCCCCTGCACCCCGCTCTCCACTCCCCACCTCCCCTGCACCCCGCTCTCCACTCCCCACCTCCCCTGCACCCCGCTCTCCACTCCCCACCTCCCCTGCACCCCGCTCTCCACTCCCCACCTCCCCTGCACCCAGCTCTCCAATCCCCCACCTCCTCTGAATCCTGCCTCTACACCACAATCTGGTCTCCTCGGGTCAGGACGCTGCTGGAGGTTTTCCTACTTTCCAGCACATCCACCGATGTGAAGTGTCTTCTATGCTCCTCAAGGAACAACAGCCGCGCCGTGGAACAGGACCCATCTCGGACATTAAAACAATGGCAGCTTCCCTGACTGACGTGGCTCAGTGGGTTGGCCAATCGTACCACAAAGCAAAAGGTTGCTGGTTAGATTCCCAGTCAAGCACATGCCTGGGTTGCGGGTCTCTGGTCGGAGCACATATGAGACAACCAATCAATGTTTCTCTGCCTCTCTTTCTCCCTCCCTTCTCTTTGCTCCAAAAATAAAATTAATAAAAGAAATAGCGGCTAATGACTTCTGAGTGCTTACTCTCATCCAAATAATTTTCTTTCACTGTATTATTTAATCTTTAAATAAGCCTACTAGGTCGGTACCAATAATTTCCCCAAATTACCCATGATAAAACAAGGCTAAAAGAAGCTAAGAAGAAAAAAAAAAAGAAGAAAAAGAAGCAGCAGCTAAGAAATGTGTCCTGGGTCACAGATTTAATAAGCACATGAGCTAGGATTTGATCCAATGTCGATATAATTCCAAAGCCTGAGTGACCAGACTCTAAATGAACAGCTGAGCTGACCTTCATGTGAGTTTGCTCAAAGTCTCTACTGGATTTAGGTCGTTTCGAAGCCATCAGTTTTATTATTGTGAGATAAGAGCTACAAACCACAAACCCTGAGAAGCAGCTGCTCTACAACTGCCCAGGTGATAAATCAAGAAATTCACTCTAAAACGTTATTGTAGTTGGCAGGAAAACACGTAATTTTTGTGGGCATGTCTGAGTGATGAGAAGAACTAACAATAATGCCACCATTGCCGGCGTGCAGCGGGTACAACGTCAGAGCCCAGGTACAGACCGGGGCCTCGCACTGACACGCCAGGAAGCCCACCTACAGATCACCCGTGCGTCCAGCGTGACCTCCGTCCAGCATGACCTCCGGAAGGTTACATCACTACTTCCTTTCCACCCGATCATTCTAACTCCCCCGGTCCTCAGGGGCCCTTCATTTCAATGGCCTCTACATTCCGAGCTGCTTTGCTGGGTCTTCGTACAGCATTGTGTCCAGAGGTGACTTGGATGGAGCCTGTGAAGGCCGCCCCAGTGGGTCTCCATAGAAATGGCCCCGGGGTTGTCTCCAAAGTGGCCTTGCTTGAGTTACCATGGCAAACAACCAGACTAGATTGCTATATTCAGTTCTCTGCCAGGGTCGCCATGGTGACTGCAAAGGATGGCTCCTTAGAAGGACCTCACAAGGGTGCGTTTCCATGGCGACCCTAGCCTGCATATTTCTCAGCCACGTCCCTTCGGTCGTTCTGTGACCAATCACGGCAGGTTCACAATGAAGGTTTCTCCCGAAGATGCCATCATAATGCATGGGGATTTCGAAGAGAGATCTGCAAACAAATAAACTGCTTGAAGGTGTGAGAGGTGCCATTTACCAGTCATTTGATTCGTCCTTGTACGTTTTAGGAGGGATCCGTTTTGATGGGTAACAGAAAAATACGTGCCATGTCTCTGTTTCAAATGTTCATTGATTAAAACTATTTTACAAAATACAGTGCAGATGACTGAGGTTTCCAGTGTCTCTTACAGCACAGCAGCGACCTTGGTAAAAAAGAATTCTCTATAGTGTACCTGGCACACACAGACACGGAGCCAGAAATACAGATGGATCATTAGGTTATAATGAGATATCAAGGAAGTTTTCACAGAGCAAAAGACAAAATATTTGCAAGTCAAATGAAAAAAAAAAAGTGCTTTTTTAGCTGAGTTGGGAAAGCCGGGCCGTATTTGGGCCCGAGCTATTTCTTCCTGTGTTTTTGCAGTTGGAATAAACCCAGCTGTTCTCTTTTCCCCTTAAAATATGAATCTAAGCCGTTCTGAACAGATGCTTGGTTTTTTAAGCCACTTTACTATTCTCCTGAAACTTGAAAATAATTTACTTTTTGAGTATTTGGTCAAGGGCACACTTTTATCTAATCACTAATGTCCATATCCTTAAAAATTATCTCACATATAAAAATATCTACAGCTCAAAAGATATGATTACAATTTCTGTACGAGTGCCCCTCCCCACTTTTGTTCCTTCTCATGGACTCTTCTCATAAAATTAAAAAGTAACACACACACACACCCTTATTGAATGGAAGAGGTTAATCTTGGGTCAGTCCCACCGCCTCGGCATTTTCTGGTATTCCCTCTCAGAGAGCCCACTCCGCTCCTCTGCCCTCAGTGGCCCCCCACGCTGCACTCACACCCCATTCAGGAGCATGAACCTGAGTTTGAAAATGGACCTCATCCAGAAAGATGAGGATAATTCACTGTCATGGTTTAGTGAAGTCTCGGTGTTCTGCACAGAGTCTGAGTTTGTAGAGACGTCTTGCTTCAAGCCATCAATGTAATGGGTCATAAAAACTGTTATCGGTCAGTGCAATTTTCATCCATTTGCTCCCGCCCTGTTTACAGTGCCTTGGACTGAGCCCTGCGAGAGGGGCTGAGAGCCTCAGGAAACAGATAAAAGTCTCCTGCCCGTCAGGTGCATAGATTACAGACAAGGAGGAAAAGAAAAAGAAGGGAAGGAAGGAAAGGAAGGGGAGGGGAGGGGAGGGGAGGGGAGGGGAGGGAAAAAGAGGGAGGACATATAAAGAAAACTAGCGAGGGCATCATATCTTGGGCTAGAAAATGACTGAAGTGAGGGAGCCGTTAAAGCAGTTTCGACGGGGGAACTATGATACTAGGATTAGTGGGGGTTTCAAGGGTGCCCCTACTCACCTGCTATCAGTATACTCAATACTCATCTACATTCTTGAATTTAAAAAACAGATTAAGAAAGTCTCTTTCACAGAACTCAGTAGAAGTTAGTCAAAGCACTGATCTTTCCCGGGTGAACTTGTCCTCTGAAGGGCATCTCGGTCTGAGGCGGGCACGTGGTTCCATCACTCCCGATCCCATCTCCGACCAGAGCCGAATCAACTCGGCCACCTCCTTCCTCCTTCCGAGCCTCTGGCTCAATTTGAACGTGAGAATATGCATTCCAGTCTGATAGCATTACTCTGAGATGATGTATAGATACTAAATATTGTGGGTGCTAATATCATGCCTGGAATTAAAATGTCTAGAACAAAAGTGCCCTTTGAAAATACTCCAGGAAAAAAACAGTGAGAGAAGGAGAAAAAAAGGTAAATGAAACAATTTGAGTAAATACTAGGAAATAATGAAGCCCCAGCGATAGGTATCTGAGTTCATTATATTATTGGGCCTCTTTTTATCTCTGAAAATTTTCATAGAAAGGTATTTGAAGAAAAGCTTAAACGCGAAAGCAAAGATACTCCACCTTTGTACAAGTTTTTACATATCTAGACAAAAGTACGTAAGAACACTAAGTATTTTGTATAAATATCTTATAAAACTAGATAAGTGGATTTATATACCGAGTACTTACTAACCTTCTAGAACAATGCTAGGTACTCTTCATACCTTCTTCTAACACTCCAATTCAAAAATGTGAACTTCATACTTTACGCATCGTCACAGACAACATAAGACAGACAGATGAGCATGACTGTGAAGGTCGAGGGCTCACTGGGAACTCAGTGTAGAACAGACTTTGGGAGAAGTTTTGAGAGGAATTTTGGGATCACTTGCCAAATGCTTCAAAGCAAGCCTGGAAAATGGAGTTCCACACTCCTAGTAAACATTCAACGCGCCAATTCTGTAGAATTGTATCAAGAAACACACACTTACCAGGTCCGTATCTGCCCTTTTATAGGTCAAGGCTTCCACTTTGGAGTCCAGTTCTGCTTGTATTTGGTCTCTTCTTTTCATGACGCCCTTGGGGTTAAAACACACGGACTCAGTCATCTTTGCGTAACAAAAATACACGTTTTCAGAATATAAATTACCCTCATGACTTGAAAAATTATTTTAATCTCTAAAAGCCAAACTGAAAGCAAGTATTTGGAAAGTTTTTCCATAAATCCTGTAGTTTTCCCAATGCACCTGTTACTGGGGTAGGTTTGTTATACATGGAAAGAGCAAAGAACGAAACAGTGAGCAGGAGCCCCGCAAACTTGGCTCTGGTGTCAACTCACTACTGCTGGGTACAGAGGCCGCCCTTTCATCTGGCTTCCCCCCCACCCCCAGCCCCCCACCCTGCGTGGCTCGTCAGTCCATGACAGCTGGGAGCCAGAACATGGAAGGGTGCATTCACATCTGAAGATTTTATTGTAGCTTAAAATATATACGTATCAATCAATTAGCCATGCTTTGGATGAGAAACCATGGCCTCTTTTCTCACTGACAGGGGTTCTATCCCGTTTTCTTGAATGACCAAGACTTCTTGGGTCAGGGCTGAGGCACGGAACATGCCTCCGCAAAGGAATCGGCGTGCAGAACTCGCCTGGGACCCTGACTGTGTTTGCTGGTCATTTACAGCGTCTTCCCTTTGGTGACGCACTTTCCTTGCAGGACATCCTGCTTGGGCTTTGTGGACAGGAGGACTCCCATGATTTGCACTCGTCTGTCATGGAGTGTCTAGCGTTAATCAGATCGTGACACTGTTATTGTGAATACAAGTGGCCTCAACAGGTTAAGAAAAAGAACATGATTCTACCAGGGAGAGTTAAAGGAAAGACATACAAGACAAGGGATTTCATGAGACTCAGGTCTCTTGGGTGTTTTCAGAAGCAGGGAAGAACCTGGATGAAAACTAGTTCAATAGAGGCCAGAGGAGAAGAATCTACAGCACTCATGTGAGAACTGGGAGGCTTTGGGGGGAGAGTGTCCGGAAGATTGCCCGGTCTGGTTCTGTGCCCCCATAACAGCCCTGAAAACATTCAGAAGAGACGGCAATCTCTCCTGTTTTAAAGCAAGCCTTACATAATTCAACTAATGACCACAACTTCTTTTATACTGACGTCCCTGGTTAATTGCCACGAATGTCAGAGACCCTTTCCCTTCCCAATGACACAGATGACAGTTTAGTCCCCTGTATTTAAGATCTGTTTCCATAAATAGAAAGCACTGAGCTTCCTGTAAGTAAGACTGTCAGGTATGAGGTTGACGGTTCAGAAGAAAATGGGTAAAAATTACCCCCATGAAATCATCTCATTGAGGCACATGCTTTTCACTCCTTTGGCTCACACTGAAGAAACCTCCCCTTGGAAAACAGAAGCAGATGGTGACATAAATGCCACTGATTGTACCCAGGAGTCTAACAAATAATACAACCGAATGAGGGCCTAAAAAAACAATTCTTCCTGGTTGCTAGGATAATTTTCCCACACCTTGAACGATACGTGATTTAAATTGCATGATTTCCATCTTGACATGATAAAGAGCAAAACCCCCTAATAAGGGGAAAGAATACAGAATCCGTGACTTTAAAGAATACAAATCGTCTCTTTGAACAGTCCCACAAAGCAGGGATCAATGATGAAGTCAAGCAACGGAGTGTCACCAAGGAAACCGAGGAAGATGAGGAGGAGGAGGGACACGCGTGAGGCCTTGGGGAGACGAGATGGGTTTGTCCACAGCACAACCCAAGGAAGGCAAGTAACAGCAGCAACCCGAAATAGCCACCAAATACTTAATGACTCGGTCAGAGGAAAACCTAGGGACCGTAAATGCAGAAGGGGCAGGTCCCCTGCTGAAAGGGCAAGGCAGCTTTTCTTACCAAGTTAGAAGCAAAACTAAAAAAATTATAACCCCCCTCCTGCAAATCAAGAGTGCAGGCAAACAGAAACCAGATGTGACTCCCATGAGAAGCGTGGAGAAGGTGGGCTCTGCCTCAGCCTGCAGCTGCCTTGGCCCCGCCGCGGTGCTGAAACCCCAGGCCTGCGGGAGGCGCTGCAGGCCCAGCGCCGCGCAAGAAGCACGGGAGCTGTGCAGACGGCACCGCCAAATCCCAGCTATCTGGAAGTCTTATCTCGAACTGAGGAGGTTAAATGCAAAACTTGGCTCCAAGAGGGAGAAAAGCCTTTTCAAATAGTGGCAGAAAAACATTTTCACGGGAAGGATTTCTTTTCAGAAGCACCCGGAAGGCAGAACAAACATGGAGAACCAGCTCAAGGGCTTTCCTGGGTAATGACGCGGACTGTATTGCTGGGGCCAACGCGCCACCGCCCAGCCGCGGGGAAGCGGCGCTCTCACCAAGAGAAATGTCTCACGCACTGCCAATTTTTGAAGATTTTAAAAGGTTGGAAACACGACTCCCATTCCCTAAGTCTTGTTGGAGGATGCTTCAAATCTCCGCATAACATCACGAACTGTTGTTGGTACTGCTTTATAGTCCTCTCTTTTACAGATGCGATCTTCCACCTCTCCATTCATTGGTGCGGTGTACGCACGTGCGCTCTGACTGCGCGCTCTTACCATTAACGTCTCACTGTAGAGCACGTACTCGTGCACGACCGGGAGCAGGGCCTCTGGCAGTCCCAACAGTCGCCTCTCGGTGGCGGTGCAGCACCGGGCCAGGCAGCTGGCCACCCCGCTCAGGGTGTCAGCCAGACCTTCTTCGGACTCCGCCCACAGACTATGAATTGGGCCGTATTCCTTCATTTCGTCCAAGTATTCTAAAAACAAAACAAAACAAAAATAAGTTCTTCCGTTTATGGACGTTTTTAACATCCCTGCTGATAGCAAGAAAGGGCTCATTTTTGTCATCAATTTGCACTTGTTTATACACCAACATGGGAAATGAGACATCATCCTTCATTAACTTGACCCATCACACTGGTCTGCTCATGTCAGCTGGCGAATGACGGCCGTGCAGGGCTAAGAATTAACAGTGTCCTCTTTCATTCTCAAAAGTGTCCTGGCTTGGAGTGTACACTGTGTGGTCACCATTTCTTCACAGGCTTCTGCCTGACAAACATGCACTGCCCTTGAGTGTCTCACAGCAACTTGACCTACAAGAAAAACGTGTCTTCTTTCTCCCTCCTCCCGATTCACGTCCGACGGCTGATGGTAGATGCTCCCAGGGAGCTGAGCCAAAAGTCCCAGCTGCATCCGGGCCTCCCATCTGCACGGCCAGGCAGTCACCAGGTCCCCTGGATCTTCATCGTCCACCACCCGCCTTCCCTCACCTCCATTCTCATCAGCATCTCTAACTTGCACTCCCACAAAGGACTCTGACCTTGTCTGTCTCCTCCTTTCCCTTTGGGTCACAGAACATAAACAACTGACTTCCTTAGGAAATAGAAAGTTCTCATTTATGATCCGTCCTCACCTTGCCTCTCCGAAGCCAACTCTTGAGATTCTCTCCCACAGAGGTTTTAATCGCAGCCCCAGTTCTCGCTCCTGTATGAATCTCTCCTGACTTCTGCTTCCTCAGACGCTGCCTGTACCCGTCAGCCATTGCCACCATCCAGCAAACTGCACTCGGTCCTTGAAATCACAGTCTATGTAAAGCCCTTCGGATCCTGTTCCAAAGGGTTCGGAGATGCTGTGTCCTCAGCGAGCCCCGCATAATGCTACAGTCCTCTTCCAGCCTGTTAGAATTTTATGCTTCTACTATTCCACTCTACAAGGACGGCTTGCATAACCGACAGACTCCTAGGCCATATGCTCCTTAAAAGAAGGGCTGAGACTCATTATTTTTTTTAAGCCTCAAAGCCTGATACATAACGTGTTCAATAAATATTTTCACATCAATGAAAGAATAAATGAATAACAAAAGGACTATTCAAGGCTTGATAAGCCATTTATTCAAAAATTTGAATTTCATTTTAAAATCTGAATATTTTTACATTTTTGCTTTCACACTATCAACTTTCAGCAACAGTTTTTTAAATGGTAGCAAATGTATAAGTGAGCTTTTTTTCTTTTTGCCTGATAACCATATAAATAAAACTAAATTCTCTATGTTTAACCATCTTCTACTCATTAGGGTTAGTTGTAATGTCCTGTTGCTCAAAATTAAAATGTTATAATTTCAAAAGCTGGTACGATAAAATAAACTGAAAAAAAAAGTCAAAAATTTAAAACAGTGGAAATGTTGATGGTCACCTAATGGAGTTAATTAGGTTTGATGACCTTAGACCGCTTCCCAAATCACTCTCCTTACCTAGGCCTACCCTGTATTTTGAACAAGGGCCAGAGTAAAATGATGTTCCTGGAATAGAAAATATTCTCCTGTATTTCTGTTCTCAATCTGTGTATATCTCAATGTGTGTCACTGAATGTGCTCATATTTATTTTTTTAATAATTTAAAAATTTTTATTCTACTACAGTTGTCCCAATTTTTCCCCTTTGCCCTCCTCCGCCCATCCCACCCCCCACCCCGCTCCCACAGTCAGTTCCCACACTGCTGTCCGTGCCCATGGGTCATTCAGGCGTGTTCTTTGTCTAGGCCTGTCCCCTTCTTTCCACCGTTATCCCCCTCCCCCCTTCTCCCTCCCCTCTGGTCTCTGTCAGTCTGATTCTTGTTTCTATCCCTGTGGTTCAATTTTGTTCTTTCGTTGGTCTTGTTCATTAGGTTCCTCTTATAGGCGAGATCACATGGTATTTGTCTTTCACTGACTGGCTTATTGCACTTAGCATAATACTCCCCAGTTCCATCCATGCCGTCACAAAGGGTAGAAGCTCCTTCTTCCTTTTTCAGTAATATAATAAATATAGAGCTTCTGTAAAATTTGAAAGTATGCTTACAGAGCACTCAGGCACATTCGCTTGCAAACGTTTAATGAGTTGCGCTGTGGTTGGTCTGTTAACGTGTTTGTTTCCCCCACTGGACGGCGAGCTCAGCACAGGCACCTCATCCCTCCTCTAGTCTCCAGGCGGATGAGCAGCAGCACAACAACTTGCCGAATAAACCGGGGAACCCAAAACAAACACACTCAAAGAAACAACTGAATTTAAAAATAAAAAGGGAGACCACTGGTTGTGATCACCAGATTCTCTGATCTGAATGTGAGCACAGGACCCTCTACCACCTCGGCCCCCAGAGCCGCTGAAGAGGACACTCCTTCATACCGAACGGAATCCTCACAAGTGGGCTTCGCACTCTTGACACCAGAAATCCCTCAGTGCCCTGGCTGGTGTGGCTCAGTGGATTGAGCACTGGCCTGCGAACCAAAGGGTCGCCAGTTTGATTCCCAGTCAGGGCACATGCCTGGGTTGTGGGCCAGGTCCCCAGTAGGGGGCGTGTGAGAGGCAACCATACACTGATGCTTTTCTCCCCTTCTTTCTCCTTCCCTTCTCTCTAAAAATAAATAAATAAAATCTTTAAAAAAAAGGAAATCCATTCACTCCCTGAGAAAGGAGAGATCAGATTTATCAAGCTTGTCACACAAAGGCCAGTGCGCCTTCTGAGAATTTCCCAAACAGGAGTGTCCACCTGAGATTTCTCACCTGTCCCCTTGCAATGGCCGACCCAAAGCATGTGGATATTTTATAAACCTCTTAAGTGTTCGGAGAGTTTCCAGGGGCCTCTCTGAATTGCTACTCCACTTACCGAGGCATCAAGAACCTACTTAACAGAACGGGAATCACAGAACCTAGTTAAAACAATGAGCTTCTTGGGATTAAAGACCAAATGACAAACGATGATGACAAGGGGGGACCAAGAAGGCTTGAACACACTGTTAAACCACATTCAGTCCCGACGATGCCCTCATCCAGTGTCAACGCACGGAAAAGGCTGAGAAGCAGCCGACTGATTCCCGATGAAGCACATTTTCCTACCGCCACAACGGACGCCCATTCATTTAGTTCTTCGGTCACTGAACAGATTTTGACTGAGTGCCTTCTCCGTGTGAGACACTAACTAGATCCTAGAAATACAGCAAACATCTTCCCTTCTTGTCCTGATTGAACTTACAGTTTAACGGGGGGAGGGGCACAAATAATAAAAAACACCCCAAATCATCAATATAGGGACCGTCAATAGTTCATTTCTAGAGTCAATGTATATTAGGAAATGTAGTTTATGACTTAACTATCCATTCAAAAAATAGGTAAACGCAATTAGAAAGTTAGCAAAAGTCATCATCGAATTAGGAAAAAAATCACGGAATAAACTTTAACTTATAAACTAAAAACATAAAACAAACAGAAAGAAAGTAGAAAAAGGAAATGGTGATAGAAAAAGAAGAAAAAAGTCCTTTTTTCTAACATATAAATCTGTCACACTTGGAGAGACACATAATACAGAGAGGACTTGTCCCTTCCAAAGTCACCCAAATATGTGGAAACACCACTTCCGGAGACTTTACTGCTTTTACTTTAAGTTATGGTCCATGTTGAACATTTACACTAACTCAATACAACTGCATCCCAAATCGTAAGCTCAGGGCTTGCTTTGCCATTACTATCTGTAAGTGGGAACAAGAACAGCTACTGACCGATGAAAGCAAATGAGGACTGGCCATGACTACCTTCCAAAGCAGGTAGGAGTCAGAAATTTGCACACAACGTCTGGACACAAGAGACACTTGGAAAGGGAAATTCTAACTTAATGTCACGTGACTCCTTATAGAAGGACATTGGAAGTTGCCACCAGGTCCTAACAACCAGTAAAATGCTGACCAGGCTGAAAAATCAACATCTTCTCTTGGACCCGCAAGAGAGGGGAGGACTCAGGACCAACCGCTGTCCTGGGGAATGGAGTGACAGGCAGGCATTGAGCCTGCCTGGCCCACAGCCTCGGGAGTGGAAACTAGGTCTGAAAAGGGTGGGGCAGGGAGATGGGGCCTGGGGCTGAGACTCTGCTGGGGCCAGGTGGGCAATTCTGAGGGGTGAAAACTCCAGGGGCCCCAGTCCCCAAGATTTTGTGAGGTTTGCCCCCAGGAGGTCGGCTTGGCTAGGTTCCCACAGTATGTGTCCAACAGAAGCCACGCCTGCTTTCCACAGGGGCTGGGAACAAGCACCCTGAAGTAGCCAGACCACTCAGCTCTTCCTGACAAAGCCTGAGCTCAGGGGACATGGCTTACAGGGCCTCACCTGCTGGATGTCACCCGGGCCGCACCCACCTGCAGGGAGGGAGATCCCCAGCTCCCAACCACTGGGGCCAGCCCATCCCAACGAAGGGGCGGCAGAGAAACCGAGAACCTTATGAAGGTCAGTCCAGAGGCTGAGACCTCATCACAGGTCCCCAGGACACTCCCCTCCCCACACTTCACCACCACGTGGCAACTATTTAAATGATTGCTTGTACCAGGTACATCATGTCTGGCTATTAATGAAAAATTACTAGGCTTATAATAAGCAAAAACCACCATCCAAGGAGATGGGCAAGCCCTGGACATGGCAGTGGTACTGAACTGTCAGAGTGGAGTTGGAGATGATGGTGACAGACACTTGGAGGGCAGCAGTGGGTAGGTCGGTGGCAGACAGGACAGACCAGCGCTGAGAAAGGACGGCAAAGGGGTGCCACCCTCCCACTGTCGGACCGCACTGTCGGGCGTGAAGATCCGCCAGAAAGTAAGCAATGTTCAGTCGAGAACCGGCGACCTACGTACCCCGTTCCTCCTTGTAAATCCTCTGAGATATTTTGTCTATTAAGTTTATTTTCTGGCTGAATGTTTCGATGAAGTCATTCATGTCCGTGAACTCCTCGGGGCGGCTTTTCACCCCTCGCACCGACCAGGCCACCGCGCGGACTGTCTGCCCCATCTTGCTAAGGAGCCCAGGCCCTTGCTTCTTGTGAGAAGACAGCTCCTAGAAATTAAAAAAAAAAAAATTGTCGTCAAGCAAGCAACAACATTCCAAGACCCAACAGAAAAAGAAACCTAGTTAGAAAAAGACTATAAAGAGAACGAAAGTGTTTTATATACATCTTGTTTTTTCACGTTAGTTTGAAGCAGGTGAGTTTTATGGGGGTACAGTTCTTCCTGAACATCTCAGTCACCTCGATAACACTCCTCGTCAAAGTAAATCATGTATCTGAGTTTCCTCAGGGTCTTTGAAAGAACAAGGTTTATAGAGAGAATCGTGCTTAGGAAGATCTTAAAGAAGATGGGATGAGAGGATCGCGACACACACTTTACTGAGGGACTTCATGGGAAAGATGATCGAGAGAAGATTGCTCGGAATCTAAACCACTCCCTGGAAAAGGGCACGGGGAAACTTCATGAACTCTTTAGTACCAAACAGAATAATAGCAGACACGTGTTGCAAGTTTGATACATTCCTGGCCAACCCTCGCATTTTTCTATACATAAGTGATGATACCATGAGGAGGGTTCTGTTATTACCCTCATTTTCCAGGATGAAACAGAGACATGGGAAGTGAAGGAGCTTGTTCATGGCCAAGAGCAGTAAGGACAGGGCTCGGGGCCAGGTGGCATCTGGCGCCAGAGGCTTCTCTGGGAAGCACTGACCTGCTGTCTTTGTTAAGTCCCCAGGATAGTGTGTAAATGAATATGAACTATCCCTGACTGTAGGTAATGAACCTACTGAAGTGGGCCAACTGGTATACCACCTCCCTCCACTGGCTGGCTGTCTGCAGAGAAAGATTCTTTATAAGACATGTCACTAGCTGTTTCACGGTTAACCCAGGAGGAACAGGGACAGACTGGCAACACAGAAAAAATTTCCAAGCAGTATCATTCTGCGTGCAAATGAGAACAGGTGCCCTGCCTGACCGGGCCACATGCCTGCCCAGGAGAGTTCCAGCGTCACTCAATGGTGTGAACACCATCAGAGACAGCACGGGCCACGCTGGCAAGCTGTGACGGCCACTGCCGACCATAGACAAGGTTCCTAACAGCTTCTCCGGTACTGGAGTCGGGCCGCAGACTCAGCTCACGTGAGCCACGATGGGCTTGCAGACAGCAGGACTGTCTGTGAGGACGGAGACGATCCGCTTTCTACCTTCCATCACTTTGGCAACAACCGAGAGGTTGATTAAACTCAGCACCAGTCAGTGATTGTTTAATACTGACTGCTTGTCCTATCCAGGATTTTACTTGATGAATTCTATCTTCACAGTTAAATATAAAAAAGAAGAGGAACATATAGTGTATGTACAGTAGAAATTAGAGTCCCCTCCCCCCAAAAAATAGTAATTGAAGGGAACTTAAGAAATTGCATTATCTATCCAGGTTATCTATCATTCTATCCACGTATCCATCCCAACCATCCATTTAATAATGACTTTTACCCTAATTTGAAAAGCCCTAACTAAAATACCCATTACTACTCAAAATAGTGTCAATAAAAGAAATAAACATATTTGCATATATTCAGTATTGGCTATGCATGAATTAAAAAATCAGCTACCAAGAGAAATGTGAGTATGTAGGATGTGAGAAAGGTACAAGGTTTCTGTAATGTTTACGCATCGATTTGACACAGGGTTAAATCTGAAGGTACCCCTCCAATGCTTCAAAATTCTTCTTAATTCCAGGCCCCTGCTGTCTGGTTTATAGGGGTAAACAGGGGAAGGGCACCACCGTCTAGCCACGTAGGCACTGAAGGATTGCATATGTCAAACGTCTTTACCCACGCTTGTGCAGTAAGAAAAACTTTGAAGTCTTCATTGAATGTCAAAGTGGGATGATCGGCAATTCGGTTCAAAAACGCATGGAGTGCCTTCCGGCGCGTCTCGATGAAGTCATCGTTGAAGCGCTCCACCATCCCCTTCACTATGAACTTTTCTGGCAATGGCTGAGGGGAAAGAAGAAAAGTTAAAACCGTATCTGAGTATGAGGTGGCAAAGGCTTGTAAGGAATTCTGCATGTTTCCACGTTAGAAGACTATTTGTGCCTGTGATCATTTCTCATAAAAATAATTCTAAAAATTCACAATGCTAAAACCCAAAATGACAACATGTTAACATGATGACGGTTAGAAATAAGTACATCTGTACTTAGATGGAGAAGTACTTAGATTGAAAAGTTTAAAAACAAATGTTTCCGAGATAAAGGAATTACCCAGAATGGCAAGGTCTGACATTGGGTCTTGGGCATTTATTTCTTCGATTCAGAGGAGAGTAGCTATTCAATGAAAACCAAGGTCAACTTACTGGAATGATCAGAGTCGGGTGTGCCTCTTCCAGCTTTCCTTTTAACCAGAGGAAATCTTGATACCGCCTCCTAACTTCGAATTCACTGGAGTCAAATTCCCCACGAGACGTCTGCAGGAAGCAGGAGAATAGAAAGACACATGCGACGTGAGATGAAGACATTTGCCTGCTGTTAGTTTAGACTTTCTAAAATAAATGGGTCTCTAAGAAACATGAACAAATTCTAATTATTCAGTGTTTGTCAGCCTGGGCTTTTCATTTTTTTTTTTTTTTGCAGTCACTAATTCATGTAGCAGATGAAACAAAGCGAACTTTCCAGTATTTCCAGAAAGAAAGCAAACATCACACTCAAATTTAAAATCCAAACTGAAAAAAAATCTGTCTCAGAGCGACCATCTGCCTTCCACAAGATTTAACGACGATCATCTTTGGCATGCCTTTCTCGCTAACGAGAAAGTGTGTTCTGAATTTAGGTTTCAAAGATATGTCTTCTCTCACGATGATCAGAATTCAGAATTTGAGGAAAAGTTCTATTATTGCAACTTGGAAAAGAACTTGAACATAACTGAGAAAAAAATGTTTTCCTGGAATTTGTGCAAATGGATTGCTTTGCTAAAACCTGCTTTCTGTATATGAAAATTCTAACATTTTATAGAGTGATTTTACCCACTGTTTTAAAAAATGTTATTAATGGAGACTTGATGTGGAAAAAAAAGTGTTCCTGTCATTCGCAAGGAATTTTATTTTGGGTGATATGCTTAACTCCTAAAAAAATTAAGCAAATATATTAAAATATCTGTTCTCAACAAACCAAAGACCTATGCCAGCACATTGACAAGAACACGGGTACAGTATTGTCAACCTCCCCTCGACTGTCCAAACCTGCAGCCAAACACAAAAAGACCCGCTCACACACACTTGCCTCTCAGAAGACAGTCTCGCCCGCCGACATCTTATTTAACGGAATTTTTGCATATTAGAGCTCATACGCAGTAACACTAAGGTTGAAATGTTGCTACAGGAGGAAAGAAGACAATACATGGCACACACGTTTCACGCTCACCAGAAATCTCGGTCACACGCACACATGCACGCACGCACAATTGTAAAAGGAAGCCATTCAAGTGGTCAGCAACCTTAACTGTGGGAAGTAAGGCTCACAGAAGCTGTACTTTGCGATTTAGTCTTTGGAAAGGACTGTTTAGAACACCATACAGTGTATCTCAGTAAAACATTCCCTTTTTTGGTGGGGAAAGTGGAGGTAAATGAGATGCGGAAATCTACAGAACTAAATGCTCGCAGACCACGGCACAGTCTTGACTGTTATGCAAAGTGGTGCACATTATAGCAATGGTAAAAATAGGAAGACTAAATTTAGTAGAAACACAGTTTAACAATATATATGAGTTGGTGTGCGTACACATATAGCTATGTGAATACACACATATGCACACAAACCATGCTTTAGAGCCTCTCGTCAACAAGTTTTTATTGAACACCTCTTGTACCGGGCATAGATGTCCAGGCTCACTGCTGATTTCTTAGGGGAAAAAATGGCCTCGCTAAAAATAAAAACACTCAAAAACTGAGCAGTAAAGATTGAGCTTTTCGGGGGGGGAAAAAAGGTCGAGTTTTTCGTGCCCTCGAGAATGTCTAGCACTTTAAAGAGAGTGAGACAAGAGGAAGATGTAAAATGAAGTCATGTGACAGTTGACTCTGTCCGCACTGTGGCCGAGGACCCAAAGCAGTCCCCTCCCATCCCTGCAGCGGCAGGGTGAGCACAGGCCTCAAAGGCAGCAGTCCTTCCCTCCTGCCGCCAGGCTGTCTCCTGCCCCGGAAAGGTTGTGAGATACGTATGTGGCTGTGACGAGGAAAACAAGTACCACTGGGGGGCTTCAGGTCATCGCTAATTTCCCCAGAGCACAGACAGCAGCCTGGTCCCAACAAAAGCGGCGAATCGGGGTCATCTGAAGACACATGAAAGCTGAGTGATGAGATTTGATGACCGATCTCCAACTCCAAAAAGATGTGTGATCTAAAAAGTGAATTTGGATCACAAACCACGTTTCCCGTTGAGAATACAGTTTTCCGTGGGTGTTATATTGGAAATGGTATTTAATTGTTCATGTCTGGCCACGGATGATTGGGTACTAGAGTTTAAAACTAACAGCCTCATGTGATCAACACCCCAAAAGGAATTCACTCAACAAACTCTGACCTTCGGTCCAGGACAGTGACTTCGCACTGAGGACACAGAAACTTGTTCCCTTGTGTTTTTGAGGGAACACAAATCTAGAACCAAGAATGTACTTGAAGCCCGACCTGGACTTGGGCGGGCGTTTATGGTTTGTCTTCTCGGTGCACGTGTGTAAGGAAAGACCCTCCTTCAAATGTCAGGTCTCATGTTCCTGTGCACTAAGTGGTGGGCGGGGGGGTGGGCACAGCCTTAAGGTCTCCAAAATAGAGAGTGCTTCCCTAGAGCGGGCCCCTCCCAGAGTCCCACCTGGAGAATGGAAGGCCATTTCCCACAGGGCCACAGGTGCCAGGAACGAGGGCTTCCTGGGGTCATTGTCTACGGTCAGGTCATTCTTAAGGGTTCCTGAGTGCGTGTGTGCGGGCCCACCCTTACGATCTCAGTGCCCATCGATATCAATTTTTATGGAACAAAAATCTCAGGAAATGACCTCTGAACCTCGAAATTAGATGGGGTACCCCATGCTCAACAAAGCGTCATTTTTCTCTGCTATTACATGTGTAACTACAATCGAGTCATGAAGCATATAACTGAAGGTCCATAGTGGTGGGGGCACAGTCTGCTTTGGTTGATGTAGTCTTAATAAGCAAGCACCTGAGACATAAATGACATTCCATAAACTTTGTGGAATATACACATAGATGAAGCCTTGAATAACAATGGAAATCCTATGTCTGATGACATGATTTACATCTACAAAATGTTTATACTCTTGTCCTTGTACCTGCAAAGCACAGTCTGCTCTATCTCGTATTGACGCTCAGGCTATATCCTGGGAGGGAGTAAAAAAAAATAACTAAAAAGAGAACAAAGAAACCTGAGTTTGTAAGAGTTCCACTGGAAGACAGAGATGCACAAATGTGTCACAGGAAACACGTGTAGCACGAGCGTAAACTGTTTGGGGTGAAATCCCAGCTCGGCTAACCGCTACGCGGTGTAAGCTTCGGCAAGTTCACACAGAGCTGGGTCCTCACGCACAAAACGGGGGCAAATCAGAAGGGCTACAGCCTGGGAGGGCGGTGACCTTAAACTAGCTCCTAGGGACTCGGTGAGAGCGCCGCCTAGTGGGCAGGCGCGGTAACGCACACGAATTGTAAGCTAGAATCAGTAGGACGTCCACTTGGGGCTCATCAAGAACGTCTTCCTGAGAGAAACAAACGATGAGAAAATTATCCAGTTTCACAGTTTCTTTGCTAGCAAAGGTGCTGACAAGGGGTGATTATAATTATAACAGTAGTGACAGGAGAAAGCCGGCACTGTTCTTAGTAGTGTGTCTGAACACATTAAATATTCACAATGACCCTCCCATGTGTTGGCTGTTATCCAAGTGACAAAGAAAGAAACAGCTTAGAGAGGTGAATTCAAGCGCCCAAGACACAGAGCAAGGCAGGGGAGGAGTCGGGATTCAACCCCACGCAGCCTTGCAATGCTGAGGAGGCTAAAAATTTCTTCCCTCACCGACTCGTTCCCCAAAAGGCAAACTCCTGACTTAGGATATAGCCCAAGGATTGTGGTTGGAATTGCGGAAAATGAAGACACAGTGAACCCTCCTTGGGCAGCTCACATACTCACTGGGAACAAACACAAACACATGCCCCTGGCCAGTGTGGCTCAGCTGGTTGGAGCGTCATCCTGTAACCAAAAGGTTGCAGGCTGGATACTCAGTCAGGGCACAGACCCAGGTTGCAGGTTCAATCCCTGGGGGAGGTGCGTACAGGGCACAGGGGGAGGGGCGCACCTGACTGATGTTTCTCTCTCTCTCTCTCTAAAATCAACGAACGAGTCCTTAGGTGAGGATAAAACAATTGTAGCGGAAGCAGAAGAGGGCTGCCAGCCTGCAGGAGCGGGCGCGCAGGTGTGGACGCCCTTCTGAGCGCTGTCTCGAGACAGAAACAGCAGTTGTTCCGTCGGAGATGTGGCAGGGCGGACTGGACAGGAAGGACGCACAGGCGGCGTCAGGAGAGTGAGAAGCGCCCGCAGACACTCGGTGACAGACGCAGATGTCCAGGTGACACAGTGAAGGGGCAGAGGTGAGTCCGGCCCAGGGCTGGGCTCAGGGCTGAGGGTGCTCCGGTATCAGACCACGGGTGTGGGCGCTCTCTTGGAAATGGGGGGCTCGGAGGGAGGTCAGGCGGGTCACTCGAGTGCAATGACACACGGTGGGAGGACAGTGAGAGCGGCACTGGACAGGCAACTACAGGACGACGGCCCCAAACCTTGTCAGCTCCAAGAGAGACGCAGGGCGACGCCGTGTAAACGGAATATTACAACTTAAAATACAATTCCTACAGGCTGCCAGGGTACACAGGACCCTTTTTAAAATTGTTATACTACAGGGTTGCTTTATTTTATCAGAGGTCAAGTCATTTTGTGGCTCTTGTCCTGGGATTAGGGACCCCTGGAGTCGAGATCTGCCCTGGAATCACTGAAAACCAATAGTCCCTCCTGTGTAAGGTACAAAGACCGCCAGCCCTTCTTTGGAAAAAAGATGACGTTCTTTGTTGTAACCTTCAGGAGGAATGGGACTATAAAATACCGCATCATGTTCTTAGCACACTGCTCTCTCTATGAGCCAGCCAGGGCTCTTCTTTCCCAAAGATATTTCTTTTCCATTTTTTTAAACTAAAACCTTAAAATGCTCTTCTTTTAAGAAGCACAACTGCTAAGAAACGAGTGACTGTTACTCAAGATACCTCGAGTCTGACTGATCTGACGCAGAGAGTGAAGTGTAGCAAGGACGCGACGTCCAAAAGGCTTGAGAAGCACAGAAGTCGGTCCAGCAAAGATTCTCGGAGGGTGAGAGCCCCAGGGAACAAGAGGCACTTCCCACAGTGGAGAGGCGGCCACAGGACTCAAGAACGTGTCTGCTCCGTGCTTACCTTGGTAACGACCCTGTAGGTGATGAAGGTTTCGAGGGTGGTGACGTGGCTCTCGGGCTCGTCCACCGTGATGAAGAGATCTTTCAAGTCTGGCTCGTCTTCGAACTTGACCTGGTTGATCATGGATAAAGGGGACGTTGGCATTGTAGGGCTGAGGGAATTCATGTCCATCAGTGAGGCATCCTAAGGAAGAAAACGGTCCAACATTAACAGCTATAGAAAAAAAAGTTAAGATCCTCTTTTTTCTTAGATGCCACAATGGTTCATGAAATATGTCAGGAACAAAAAGGGCCGTTGGACACCTGGTTCAAGACTGTATGCTGAGCATGTGATTTTTTTTGTCTTAGCTTTCTCTCAAGCCCCACAAATGACAGTGAAGAGACAAATAAACTAATAAAAACCAAACCAAACCAGAAGGGATAAACCCTCGAGGTAACAAGAAGACACAAAGCGAAGTTTTCTTTTTGGAAACTGGAAGTCTGGTGACTGAAATGTCAGCGCACAGAAAGCTGAAAAGTAACCCTAGGAGAGAATGGTAAGTTAGGAAGAAGGCAGGTTAATGACCGAGAATCCCAACGACACTCAGAATGAGAGCCACCAGGAAGCGTGGACAGGGAGTAGGGATAGAGCTAAAGCCAGAGAATTAGTTGAAAAGCTAATAAAACAAAAAAAAGAGTTAGCACCTCAGAGTCCCTCACCTATCCCAGGGGTCAGGTGGCCTTTCCCCTCAATTCTGCAGAAAACTGTAAGTTTCTTTTCAGAAGTGTCTCTGATCTCAAGGGCACCAGGCAAGATGGCGGGATGGTGGCCCTACGAACATACGAACTTTAAGACCAAGTCCTACATCCTAGATGGACTGGTACCCATCCCCATGCCTCACAGGCCCCAGAATGTCGGCAGGAGGGCTCTTATTTTTCCTTCAAATCAGTCTGAGTGCTTTGAAGCATCAGAAGTATTCAGAGCGCTGGTCTTGGGTGCCCCCCTCTACCCCACACAAAGTTAGTGGTGTGAACTTACAATTCAGCGTCTGGGTAAGCTCTCAGTACAATAATGTAAGTGATGTTAGGGTAGCACACTAGTCGAAGAGACAAGAGTAGCGGTTGTTTTATTAAGAAGGTTCAGGTTACTGTGATGACAGAAAGGTTTGTGAAACAAAAGAGACAAAAATCATCTAGGAAATCATCTAGGCAATCATGGCGAGGACCAAAAAAATCGGAGACCAGTGACAGTTGGGTTAATCAGACAAGCAAAAGCATCAAGACAGGAAAGGTCTTGCAACAAAAGTTGAATGAAATAAACTATGGCACGTCCCTTTGATAGGGTATAATCAAGCGATTAAAAGTAATGTTTTAGAAGAATGTATAGTAACTGGGAAAAAGGTTCACCGTGAGTAATTAAGAGAAAATCACGGTTCATAAAATGTGTGTTCAAGTAGATTCTAATGTGCACACGTGTGTGACGGAGGGTAGCCAGAGGAAGGAGAGTAGAATAGTGTGTGTGTGTGTGTGTGTGTAAGAGAGAGTGAGGGAGAGGGAGGAGGGGATGGAGGGAGGAAAGACACACTTGGGATGGATGAACGGAAAAGTTACACAAAAAAAGTTAACCGCTATTCCAGGTGTTGGGATTGCTGTTGAATTTCATATTTTTTTCTACATGTTTATTTTTTTAAATAAAAAATAAATGCGGATTTTGAGACAACACTAAGCCCATCAGAGTAAACACTGAATGTCGTGCAAGAGGTGGAAAGAGCCACTGATATAAATGAAAAGGGTCGCCCAGGGCCATTTTGGCAGAAGACCTTGGGGTGACATTAGATGTTCCCCTTAAGTCACCAAAGTGGCAGAGTTCCACGGGAAATTTAAAACTAAGCTGGAGGCATATAAAAATGGGATTGTCAAAATACATTATAAGAAGCTAAGACAATGGCACACTGAGCAGCCGTCAGAAACAGAGTTTCGAGGTTCCAAATAGATGTGCAATCGGCAGGCACACAGATCTCCCTCAATAGCCATTCCATGTAAGTGGCAGTTTTTTTAGGCTGACGAATTTTGATTTGATGGGCAAACGTCCTTTGGAAGTCCCCCCACCCGGCCTCCGACCACGGCTCTCATGCTCTCTGATGCCACCCATTTTACTCGCCACAACCCACGCCTCGCACCTACTACATAATTTAGCAATTCTATTTCTCCTGCTTAAAATGCATCCTTTTGTGGAGCGGGGAAGAGCTGCATGCATTTACAAAGGCTCGCAATCCCACTGAGTGTACTGCAGTGTCGTGAAAATATGCCTCCGCACCGAGCAAAGGAAGAAAATTACAGGCTGAAATTTAGCAACATCCAAGATTTCAGCAGAAGGATTTAAATGACTATGAATCACTCAAAAAGCATTCTTAAAACCTCAATAAAACCGACTATCCAAAGTGTTTTTACATTCACTTCCAAAAAAAAAAAAAAAGAAGAAGAAGCCGGGGGGGAGGGAGAAAATATGCTGATAATACATTTGGACAGGAATAAATGAAGAAGGGTTTGAGGTGACCCAAAAAGCACTTAACCAAAAAGGGCTCCGCTTAGCCTTTGGTGGCTGATGCTTTTCAGGAGAAATGGATCATTAAACTTTGGTTTTTTTCCAAGCAAAGGCCTCGCCTCCCCAGTGATGATGCAGGCTGGTCCTCCCTCTTTCCACCCCTCCTCTCTCTCTCTGCACACACACACACAACTTCTTCCACTCATTCATTCATTCTTGGCAATTGGGCATGTGCCCATTATCTTATGAAAACGTATCTTTTCATTGTTTTCTTCGAGCAATTTAACCAAAGGGTCGTTACCTGTGTGGTAAGGCTCTAGGTCTTAAATACCACCCAACACCACCTCTCCTGTAGCTGGCAAGCTGGAAAGATGGACACAGATGTCCACAGCTGCCCACACTCACGCAGCCAGGAAGTTGTGTCTGGTTTCAAGGTGAGAGCTGAACAGGTGGAGTGGAGAAAGCCCTCGGCTGCAGGAAGTCATTGTCTTTTGTCCCCACGCCAACCCACGGGAAGAGAACCCACCCAAGGGACCTGACTGAAGCGAAAGAAAAGGACATCACTGGAACCATCACTGGAGACTGAGACTGACTGACAAAGCCACGTCCAAGTGCAAGGATTCCTCGGGTTCCTCTTGGTTTACTGTGAGCCTTTGTTAAGTTGAATTGTGCCCTTCCAAACTTCGGATGTGGAAGTGGCCTGGTTAGTGGCCTCTTAGAATGTGACCTCTTTTTGGAGAGAGGGTCTTTATAGAGGTAACCAAGTTAAGACATGGTCATGGGGGTGGGTCCTGATGCAATGTGATAGGTGCCTTTATACAAAGGGGACGCTGGACCCGGAGACTTCCACAGACAGAGGACAATACCACCTACAAGCTGAGGACAGAGGCCTGGACATACCCCTCCTTGCTGCCCTCGGACAGAAGCAGCCCCGCTGAAAAACCAGACTTCAGACGGTGAGCTCCGGAACTGTGGGAAAATAAACCTGTGTTGTCTGGGCCACCTGGTCTGTGGACCTTGGTCACGGCACTCCCCCCCTCCCCACGGATTCCCAGCACTCCTAGCAGAGAGCCGCACAGGGTAAACATCTAAGGCAGTGAAGGGACAGAGGAGGAAGAAGGCATTATGATGGAAACCGTTCAGCCTTGCCCCACGCATTGCTTTTTTTACAGGTTATCCATCCACTTCTGCAATTTCTGAGAAACGTGGGTGCCTTCCTCCTTTCCTATTAGGTGTGTCCAAATTGCTGTTGAAATACATAAAAAAAAAGGCAAGGCTGGAATGCGGAACAAACAAGGGTTTGCGGATGTGTGTGTCCTCTGGGGGGCAAAACCAGGAGAAACGGGTCAGCAGGGGAGACAGGGCCTCTCTGTGGGGTCCTTCCCGCAGGGACGTCTGTGACCTGCGCACAGAACCGCTCACAGAGACGCGTGGGTGCCTCGGGGAGCCCCACACCGCGTCCGCCATCTGTGCCGGCGGCTCGTTCCCTTCTACACGTGGAGGGGGTAGCCATCCACACCAGAAGTGTGATAACCCAGAAAGGGCCACGCGAAGAGAGCCGCCGATGCCCGCGGGGGGCGCACACCCGGACAGCGGATGGGACAGCGCCTCGCACGGGAGGAGCACGCCGTTCTCAGGGACGCTGGTGTGATGGGGCTAAATTTAGCCTCCGCAGCTGTGTTTGGGCCTACGACTCCTTCCAATCTGCCTGCGTGTAATCATAATGCTGAATCGGAAAGGCCCGCCGTGGAAGGCTGGCGAACGGACGACGGGGGCGGAGCCGCGGGCCCCGAAGGTGCGCACAGCACACGCGCCCCGTCTAACGCACGTCCAGTCTGGGGGTACAGCACCTGTGCCCCACACGCCCTGTCCTCCGCCACCTCAGCAGTGTTTGTGCTGCTAGCACTTCCTTTTTCCAGCTGCGTTGCCTTGCCTGCATGCACTTGGACTTGAGTGCGTGCACACTCGGGTTTTGTGTGCTACAAGGCTACACTGACCACAGAAATTTTTCACATAACTTTATTTGACATGATTGTCCCCTCTGACAAAAAAAAAAAAAGAGGTATATATATTTTAAAAGTCTTTGTAGTAGCTAGGCAGAGCTAAACCTAGTTCAAGTTTACACATACACCACCTGTGTGAGTCTGGGCAAGTGGCACTACTTCGGAAGTGCAGTTTTCTCACTCGTGACCTGCTAGAGAGGCCATGTCCTGGATCAGAGAAGGATGTAGCAGAGGTTACAAAGAGGTGAGTAAACGTGACATGTACATTCTCTGCTTGAAGGGTTTACATGAATTAGCTTACACACGCCTTCCCACGACCCGGGCCAGCACGCTCTGTTACACAGCGAGAGAAACCAACTACACCTTCATGCAAGAACAGAGGTAACCCCCGTAATTAAACCCCCGTGGGAGGGGAAAAAACAAAGCAAAGAGGAATTCATACAGGACGACATCACTTTTAAAAGTCCTGAACCATACAAGATCCAAAATCGTATAAATCCTTAAAATATATTGCCTCAAGATATGTATAGAAACTTTTATGAAAACCAAACAAATAATGAACAAAAGTCAGATTCTTATTTTCCTTTAAGCAGATGAAAGACAGTCCTGGGGAGGACCACACAGGGATATCAGAATGTGGGGTTACGTTTTATTTCC